GGGGTCCCTGCCCGTGCTTGTCGGCTTAGTGTAAGGGTCCAGAAGAGAGGGAGAAAGTAGAGATGCCCGAGAGGGAGGGGATGCCACAAGGCACTAGGAAGTCTGTGTAATGAAAGGTAGAGACACTGGGGAGATCTCTCCCATTATGATTGAAGGGAAGGAGGAAAGAGGAGAGACACTGAGGCACTTGGAAGAGGGGCCAGGCTGGAAGTTCAATCCAGTCCTATTCTTTTTAAAGTAAGTATCCAGACCATGGCTAGATGTGAGAAGCCTCCTACACAGCAGCGGATTTTGGTCAAGGAGAGAACAGAAGACAAAATGTTCTAGGGCAAAGAGGAACAACTCTGAACCAGGACAAAGAGGAACAACTCTGAAGGCAGTGACCCTGCGTTCCGATCCTGCTCCTCTCACTTGCTGCCTTTGTGAAGTTATTTAACTTTCTGGGTCTCGGTTTCCTCACTTGAAGATTAAGGGGCTTGGACCAGAGGGTCTCAGGAATCCCATTCAGCTCAGGATCTATGCAGGATCCCATGAAGGTCTGAAACAGCCATCATGGTCAACATGGTATTGAGTAGATGAATCAAAGAATGCATTATCAGGCTCCTGGGGAGATTAGGAAATGCCAGGTTGCAAAGAATGCCCTCAGCACATTTTCTAGATTTCTTCAATTCAATTTTGACTGTTAGGGAGCAGGTGCACAGTCATTGGGTGATACGAGTCACCTAGAATGGAGGGAAGAGGGATGAAGAAAGAACTAGGACGTTCAAAGAAGGAGAGGTGATGCTAGAAAACATGGAAATGGGAAGCCCCAGGCTACAGCCTGGGTAGGGCAGGGAATGTGACCTGAGAGAAGGGAGAGGCTTGGAGAAGAGGAAGAAATGAGGGCATTGCTTGTCACAATGAAGGGATGAAGAGGAATTGGAGCAGTAGTTGATTGGAAGGGGTGGAATTATAGGAGATTGTGGGCGGAGGTGGAGGATTAGGAGCTCTGGACCTTGGTGGGTTGTAAAGAGAAGGTTCTGGCCCAAAGACTTGTGACAGTGTATGGGCGGTGGAGATTGATAGAGACCTCAAAGTGTCTACCCTGGATGGGCCTGTTCTTGAGGTGGAGATGGGGCTTAGCTGGCCACAGGAAGGTCAGTGGGATGAAGCTGAGAAGAGAAAAGTCAGGATGAGGAGGTGAAACCCCTCTGCTTCTCCTTTGAGGATCTCGCCCTTGGGGCTACACTTCCCAGAACCATAGTTTTCTGGGCAGCCGAGAGGCTCCTCTCAGCTGCGGTCGCTTGTCCCCGTTGCCCGGGGAAGCCTGGCTCCCCTCCTCCTCTCTTGGCCTCATTGGGGTCTTTGTTTTTGCTGAGGTCCTGTTTGTTCACCCCTTTCACTTCTTGCTTTCAAGATGATACAAAGGCGAGAACTCAACTTTGTTTCTAAAATCAGGGAAACTTTGAGGAAGTAAGACTGGGGCAAGGGTGGGTCTGCTGGCCCTGGTCTTCTCACCCAAACTCAGTCTAGTTTTGTTTCAGCCTCCACTCCTCCCCTCATTTGCATAGTGTCTCTTTCCAAAGAGCCCAGGGCCCTGGCAAACAGGGATGGACCTTCAGCCCCATTTTAGAGCTGATATACTTGACCCACAGGAAAAGGGAAGTAACTTAGAGTTTAGACTTTTGGATTGTAGACGCAGTTTGGCCTGTACCCCATATTTTATAGATGTAGAGATGAGGGTCAAGTGGTTTGGGACCTCACCTCACATCATGGCCTCGAATTAGAGGCTGGGTGGCCATTTTTGGGGGCACAGTATAGAAGATATTCTCATGGTAGTAGAGGAAGGGCTGAGCTGTCCCTCCTAGCTCTGGAATTCTGAGAACTCAGGGCCACCTCACTTACAGTCAGGTTCTCTTTATTCTCCCATTACTCCAGCTCTGAAACATCCCTGTGTTACATGTATTGGAAGAATTGGGGGGGGGGAGAGGAGGGGGGAGAGAGAGAGAGAGAGAGAGAGAGAGAGAGAGAGAGGAGAGAGAGAGAGAGAGAGAGAAGAGGGAGAGAGAGAGAGTGAGAGAGAGAGAGAGAGAGAGAGAGAGAGAGAGAGAGAGAGAGAGAGAGAGAGAATATGTGTTTTCCTCTCTCCTATTTGGTTAAGAAATCCTTAACAGTAGAGACCATTTCTTTAATATCATCATACCTTCTATCTCCCTAACACAAGGCTGTGTATTCAGTAGGTGTCCAGCAAATGTTTGTTAAGCGTGTATCCCACTCTAGTCCAAACCCTTGTCTTCTGCCTGCCATACTGTTGGCTGTAGCCACCATTTCCCTGCCTTTTCCCTCTAATTAATAATAGCAAGCATCTATCTATATGGGACATTATGATTTGGCTCCCTTACCTGATGGCTGACATCTTGGGGGAGGGTGTTGGGGCAGGAGATGAGCCTGTGAACATCTTTTCACAAAAGGCAGCATTTTAACCCTCCTCATTTCCCCTTAATGGCGGCACCTTCTAAGAGTTGTTGGTTAGAGGATTTCCTGGAGTGACCCTTCTCTTTTCCTGAACAGACAGCTGGAAGCAATCATGCCCCCCTCTCAATTAATTCAGTCCAATTAATAAAGTGCCAAGTAGGGGTGGTGCCAGGGAGATGATGCTTAGAGACTTCCGACCCTCCTGCTGGAGGACCCTTGAAATCAGGATTGATGGTGGGTCTTGGGCATAAAGCCTGCAACATTTTGTCCCCAGCTGGGCGGGAACTGGATGGCTGGCTGCTTCATTCTGGGTCACTGCTGGCCTCAGGCCTTGTTGAGATGGCTGACCCTGTTACAGAGTAATAACAGTCATTATTTCATAAATGAATTTTTATTGCTATCTCTTGTCTTCATATCAATTTCATTTCCAAACGTATTCCCTCCCCTCTCCCCTACTTAGTGAGCCATCTCTTGTAACTAAGAATACTAATAAAAGAAAGGGATTAAAAAAAATCAGGTCAGTAAAACTGATCAATGCAGCTACCCTATCTGATCCTGTATGCCATGTCCCATCCTCACCATCCCCCACCTCTCAGTGAAGGGAGGGACACGGATTTTCTCATCCATTTTTATAAAACTTGCTGTTTCATTATAATTTCCTGGTGTTTATATAAGTGACATTTGTATGTATGTCATACCTTAACGTTTGCAAAGCACCTTCTATAGGTTATCTCAGTACAGACTTATGACAATCCTTTGAGGATTCTTCCTTTACCTCCATTTTACAGATGGTGGCATTCAAATCAACAAGGCTTCTTAAGCACTTCCTATGTGTTAGTCACCTGCCTTCAAGGAGCTCATGCTCTAAAATGGGAAATGACATAGGAACCACTAGGTGAATACAAGATGCATGCAGAGCAGCCAGAAGGAGTTCTGTGAGGGGAGGCCATTGGTGGGCTGTGGGGCTGGGGGAGATAAGCTCGGGGTTGGCTCTTGAAGGACATCAGGGAGGCGAAGGGGTGGAGGTGGCATATGATGAGCGTGAAGGCCTAGGTCCGCCGTGTGGCCAACTTCCCCCTGACCTGTTTGTGGGAGAAGCCAGGGCTTATTCAGAGAATGCCTGGACATTTCTAAAGGCCACCCAGTGCCCCTTGCTTCCCTTGGTCCATCCCGGGCCCAGCTCATCATCCAGCTCGCAGAGTCTGTATGAGAAACAGATGCTGGTGTGGCTATCCTCCAGTAACCAGCACTCTGTGCGACAGGCATTGTCCCATGACTCTTTTCTCTCTCCTCAGTGTGGCTCATTTGACCTAAGACTTTGAGGAATCATGGTTCTCACGTAGGAGGCTCTGTGCTGCTTAGAAGCCTAGATACTGACAGGAAAGTGTGGGCCACAGGCCTGGCCTGGGGGGCTTCCTGACATTCATCCCACTTACTTGGCCTTTGTTACTCTTCTGACTGTTCTTTTTCTTTAATTTTAATTTCTTTGCTTTTTGGTGAGGCAATCAGGGTTAACTGAGTTGCCCAAGGTCACACAACTAATAAGTGTCAAATGTCTGAGGCTGGATTTGAACTCAGGTTCTCCTGACTCCAAGGCCAGAGCTCTATCCATTGTAGCTGCCCCTCTTTTGACTGTTCTTGTCGAGACAATCCCCAGTGAGAGTGTCGTCCTCAGAGTAGCAACGGACAGTTGTTTTCTGGGCAGTACCTTTGTGTCATGAACATCAATTCCAGGTGGGCACTCTTGTTTACAGCCAAGGTAGCTTTATCAGTGTGAAGGAAACATATTAGGAGATATGGTAAAAGGAATCTGTCTCCTCTTTCTCTATGGTGCCTTCCCTGGCTACCCATTTGCTTCAGGATAACATACAAGTTAAATCCCTTTATAATCTGGTTCTAGACTAGCTTTCTAGATGGATTTCACATTGTTCCCCTTTGCACAGTCTTTGATCAAGGTCCAATCCTCCCCTTCCCCCATTTCATTCTTTCCTATACACAAGATGGCATTTCCTGTCCCCTATTTCCACAGGCTGTGCCCCATGAATGGATGGTGCTCCTTCTTCACCTTTACCTCTTAGGTCTTTGGCTCAGCCCAGGTACCTCCTCTTCTGGGAGGCATCTGTCCTGATCCTGCAGTGTGGTAGTAATCTCTTCTTCCTCATGTTGTAACTTATTTGTATTCATATAGGATAGAATTTTTGGAGGGTTGGAATAAATTCTCTCTCTCTTTCAATGTATACACACACTTCTATCGATAGAAATAAATAAATGTGTGTGTTTGTGTGTCTATATATCTCTCCATATATGTATATGGAGTCAAGTGTATATATAGACATATATGCATATGACAGAGAGAGAGAGAGAGAGAGAAGGAAGAAGAGAAAGAAAAAGATAGATAAATTGATACATACATACACACACACATATAGAGCTTGCCAGATGTGTGGGTACCAAACACATTCCCTTGCCCAGAGTTGATGCTGCTTTTTAAATGCTCATTGGTCGGATCCTTTCAAACATGGCCATGTTTGTTCTCTTCCCTTCAGTACTCAATCATGTCTCACCCTTCGTGGCTGCCCCCCAAGAGCACCAGTGAATCCCTTGGTCATGCCCCTGCTCGGATGGAGACGACACATTCATTTGGGACGCCCAGTATCTCTGTGTCCATGCAGCAGACACCCAAGAAATTTGCTCCAGTGGTCGCCCCCAAGCCCAAATACAATCCCTACAAGCCACCTGGTGCTGAAGGTAAGAAGCGGGATTTGTCCTCGGCATCCCTGAAGGGAGGCAGTGGAGGTCTGTGTGACATTTGGTGGCGTGTGCTGGATAAAAATTTGTGAGGCGGTTGTGGCAGAGTGATCGGAGCAAGACTGACTTTTCCAATATTCTTTTGATATTTGTTTTTGATTTAGTACATTTGTGATGATGTCAAGTCGTTGAGCTTTTCTGAGGTTGAGTTTCCTTATGTGAATAAAGGAAATAATAATAGCAGTGGACCCCACCTAACACAGTCATTTTGAAAATGAAAACTCCATGGGTGCTGGGCTGTTTCACCTTGTTTTGCACTCTCGGTGCTGCTGACCTATGGGCAGGGCTCAATAAAGACTAGGTAAATTAACTTGAGGATGACGTGAGATAAGGTCTGTGACTCGAGAGGGCCGTACCACTGTCTGCTGTGGTGATCTGGCCATTTCTACTTCCACAGGTCTTCAAGCGTCCTTGAGTCCTGTCATGGCATTCCTCTTCCAGACTCGTGTCCCCATTCCCTCATTTAGACTTTAACCATACATAGGCAGAAATGGCTCTTTTTGGATGGGCGTGTGTGAGTAGATGATTACGAGGTTTTCATGTGGAGGGCTGTCAGAAGATCAGAATAGAAGTTCCTTCTCATTCAGCTACGTGATGTTGGTCAATAATGTCACTTATTTGTCCCTCAATATCTTGATCTGTAAAATGGGCTAGTAGATTCAGTGGTCTCTAAGTTCTCTCCTAGCCTGGAATTCTTTGATTTTGTAAGTCACTGTCCCCAGCTAAGACTCAATTTCCTCATCTGTAAATTGGAGTTGGTAATTATTTACTCATCTGTCTCAGGAGATCTCTCCTCTCCCTGTCCCCCACCCACCCCTAGACCTGTGATTTCACCAGGACAGGGAGTTACCAGGGAGGACCTTCCACCAATGTAAATCAGCCCCTTCTCTGCTACCCAGTCTCAGAAAGTGGCCTGGGCCATGGAAAGCTTCAGTGACTTACCTAGGGGCTCCCACTCAGCGTTTGCCACAGGGGGAACTGGAAACCAATTCTTCCTGACTCTGAGCTTGTCTCTCTTTCCACTATCCCACATGGCTTCACAGGTACATTTTTGTGAAAAGACCCTTGAAAGTCACTCCATGGCAAGTAAATGGGAATTGGAATGTTCTTTGAGCCTTCGACTCAGTGCCCAGAAAGACAGTTCGTGTCAAGCGAAGGGAAAAGGGCGTTGGTGCCATTCCCACCTATGATTAGGGTTTCTGCTCTTTTGCTCCCCTCTCTGCCTAATTTTCCTAAAGGCTCCTGCTTCCTGTCTTACTCATTGGGAACCTCTAGTTCACCACTTGTATCCTCCATCTGGAAGGCAGTCCTTCTCACTTCCACGTCATGGTCCCTCCATGCTTCCATCTTGCAGACTCCTTGACTCCCCTCTCTTCTCAGACCAGGTGCCACCAGATCAGTAGCCACTTCTCAGCTCTCCTCCATGGTTAGCTCTCTCTTATTTCCTTTTACCCCATATTATATGTATTTGGATTTGTGCTGCTTCTCCCCAGTAGAATGGATAGAAGGTTCTTAAAGGCAGAGTCAATTTAATTTTTGTATCCCTAGCACCCAGGACAGTGCCTGCACAGAATAGGTAGGTGTGCACTAAATGATAGTCGATGGTTATTTTATTTTATTTTATTTTATTTTATTTTATTTTAGCTTTTTGATGAGGCAATCAGGGTTAAGTGACTTGGCTAGGGTCACCTAGCTAGTATGTATTGTCTGAGGCCGGATTTGAACTGAAGTCCTCCTAACTCTGAGGCCTGGAGCTCTATCCACAGTACCACCTAGTTGCTCCTAATGTTTTCTTTACACACACACACACACACACACACACACACACACACACACACACACACACCCCTACTTATTTCACTCCATCATTTTATACAATTCTTCCACAGTTTTATTTTTCCTGAAATCCCATATTAATCATTTTTATAGCCCAATATTATGTTTCATTTATAAACCACAATGTAGTCATTTTAAATTTATTGTGGAATGTGGGATATGGTGTAAGGTATTAGTCTAAATCTAACTTAGGGAAAACTGCTTTTCAATTTTCCCAATGTTTTTGAATAATAATAGCTATTATTTTGATCACAGGTTAAGATTTTTAAAGTCCTTTATACATATCTTATTTTTTCCCTCACAGCAATCTTGGGATTAAATGCCTTTTTTTTTCTTTTTCATTTAATCAGAACTAAATATTTTTGAACATTACTTATTTCTTGTATAGTTTGAAATCTGGCTGTGCTGGGCCCCTTGAATTCCTCTTTTTTATTTATTATTATTTTACTTTATTTTATTTTTAATTTGTTCCCTTGAGATTCTTCACTTTTTGGTCGCCCAGATGACTTAGTTATTATTTTATCCAGTTCAATACAATGACCCTTGGATATTGGATTGATATAGGACCAATTCTCTGGATTAATTAAGCTAGATTCATCATTTATATTATATTGGTTTGGCTTCAGCTGTGATCTTTGAGTAGCTTTCCATTTGTCTTCCATTTTTTTTTTCCTATTGAAAATGTTTAATAGCTGGATTCATATAAGTCCTGAGTGAATCTTGGTTGGCTGACTCCTAGAGATTTTAGACATTTTGGTTTTATTTTGAATGAAATTTCTTTTTCTGTGTCCTCCTGCTGGGTTTTGTTAGTAATATACATGAAGTTTGATGACTCTTACGGGTTGATTTTATATTCTGCTACTTACTGTTTTGTTCTGTTTTTTATTGTTGTTGTTGTGTTTTTTATCTTCACGGTCTTGAATCCTGCTCTAAGCAAACCATTATGTCATTAGCAAATAAAAAAAGTTCTATATATCCTTTTTCTGTGCTTTTCAAAAGGAAATACTTATATTTTAGGATTTTTGCTTCTTTCCATGGGTGTGTAGAGATCTATAAGCCCAAAATAGGCCAGGGGGTTATGGGTTGAAATTTAATTTGTGCTTTGGCTCCCAGGTGATGCAACTCTTAATCCTGAATCCACCAAGTAAGGGCAGTCTCTTTTGCCTCCCTCCCTGAGACCTCTTTGTTGCAAGTGTAAGTAAGAAGAAGCCTTGCAAGATGTGTCCTCCTTTGCTTTCCAGGCCTCCCCTTTCCCACGCTCCCCTCACCCCTTAATGCTCTCTTGGAGTGAGAGCTCCTGCAGAGGATCTCATCATCCCCAGATGCTGTAGTGTCTCAATGGTGGTGCTGGCAATTTACAGGGATTTGAGTTTGAGGGTCTGTGTTCACCTCAACATTAGACAACTCTCTCCCACCCTGCCCTCGCTCCAAGCGTGGCCCCCACATCCACGTCCACCCTTCCTAGTACACAAAGCAGGATGAGCTATTGGACCACCCAGCTGCCGCCTGTCCGCCAGTCAGTGTCAGCCTCTCTGCTGGAGCCTTGGTACTGCGGTGTCTAATATCTGAGCATCAGAACATGAGACTTCTGGGACCCGGGAGGGAAGGGACAGTCCACGACTCTCTAGCCCATCACACTCCGTTCCCTTTTTATTGACTCATTCTCTCCATGAGTCTCTTTAATTGTTTCTCCAATGACCTCAGTGTTGTTGTTGCGGCAATCTCGCCTGAGAGACCGTTTGGCGCGTTTATGGCTCTCAGTGCGGAGCAAAGCTCTTAGTCATCTCTCTTGAATGTGTTTTCTCATTCTCATTTATCCCGCTTTCCTCCATGGGCTCAGCCCAGTGGCGAGCTCCGGAGCTGTGCTGGCCGGTTACTCTGTGATGGATTTCAGACCGAGCTTCTTCCCGGCAGTAAACTCTTTATGAGTTTGTTTGTTTTGAAGGCTGATGTCATGGGCCCAGTGCCCAGCTTCCGAGGCAGGCTTCTGGAGCTTGTCTGGGGACTGAAGCAGTTGGGCACTGGAGAAATGGGACTCGGGGCACCCAACAGTAACAGTGATCTGGCATCCTTGGGCTTAGGCATGGCAACATCCCATTTCCTCAGGGCCAATGGCCAGAACATCCCGGAATGGCTCTGAGAAAAGAACTCATAAGCTTCTGGTAGCTGTCCCACTTTGCCGATGGCATCCTTTCTAAGCTCTGGTGTGGCCGTGGCCTGACTGGCCCTTAAAGAGACCCCACTTGCAGAATTAGTCCAGGTTTTCATGAAGCCCTTCTTTTTCCATCATTGGTATAGAGAAAAGGGGCCATGAGAATTGTCCTTATTCAGAAAAGGAGAGGGAGCCCAGAGACACATTCTTTCTCATTTTTGCTCCTTTGGGATACACCTTCCAGGTTTCTCCTCTTGGGGTACCATAACCCCATGTTTCAGTTGGCTACAGGATGCCATTGTGGGATTGTGGTGCTGGGAAGCTGGTCAGAAGAAATATCACATGAGTACCAGGACTTTGCAAACCTTAGCCCAGTGGCTAACTCATAATAAGTATGTAGTCAATGTCTGGAGACTGTGATGCCATTGGCCATGACCAGGAAGAGAAGGATTATGAGAGATGAGAGCTATTTCTTTCATTTTTAACTCACAAGGTTTTATTTAAATTTTTTTTTCTATTATCAAGTATTTTTCTTCCCCCTTCCCACCCCCACTTTCCCCAGAGGGTGGGGGAAAGAAGAACAAAACTCGCAGATCTTGTAACAAATATCTTGCTCCTTTTAAATATATTGGGGCAGAAATGTGTAGTCCAGGCAGCTTGATGTTATAGTGGTTAGATCTCTGGGCTTGGAATAAGGAAGACCCAAGTTCTAATCCTTACACAAGCCTCCTGACCTTGGACAAGTCACTTAACCAAACTCAGTTTGTAAAAGGGGGATAATATAGCACTTGCCTCACGGGATTAAGCAGCATGTGTAAAGTGCCTCACAAACATTAAAGGACTATGTAAATATTAGCTATTAACATTCAAGGTAAAAGGTGAGTTTTATCTTTTGGAATGGCTTTGTGCTTCACACTTCCTTTGGAGACGTTAATTAATTCAATGAGTATTT